TGACATGGGCACCTCTACTTCTTTGCAGATGGTGCATTGGTGAATGAGCTATACAGTTTGCTTCGTGACCAGGATCCTATTGTAGTCGTGAATTGTCTGAGAGCCTTAGAAGAGATCTTGAAGAAGGAGGGAGGAGTTGTCATCAACAAACCCATTGCCCATCATCTCCTCAACAGGTTTCTTTTCTTTGATGGTGCTGGAAGCTTCATTCTTGTTCTTGTGTTTTGTATGCTAGCAGAGCAGGTATTTCTGGGCTCTTGTCAGAACTTGAAGGGAAGAATCAGGCACTCAAAGATGGACATGCCCATCCTAAGAGAAACTGAATCATGTTTATGCTGAGATCTTAAGAGAAATCTGAGATACCCTTGCTTTTCCAGGGAGTCTTTGCTTCAGCTGCTGATTTTGGATTGTAAGCTAATGTGATTAGTTAGGGGGTTTTTGGTGACAGTATAGACGATATATTTGTGGGATAGGTATGTCTTCCCAATCCATTGAAAGATACATAACTTATCCATTGCATGAAGAGATTAACTTTTCTGTAGATAATTCTACATGATTTGGCAAAACAAGGATATTGCTCTGCCCCAGGTTCTTGCCAGTGTTGCTGTCTGACTTAGAGCACCAGCAGAAGTGCACGTGAGTGATACTGCATTAAGCCTATGTGCATAAATTGGTCAATTCTCTTGAGATAAAATTGTGGTATCTACTTCTGAAATGTAGCATTTGGCGTGGAACAAAGACTGTAAGAAACTCGAAGGCTAAGGCCTCTACTCTGCACAGCACAGGTCTTTGTGGGCTTCTTGGCTCCTGCAAACTGTGTTTATTCTCTTGGCAGGATGGCTGATCTGGATCAGTGGGGGCAAACTGAGGTGCTTACCTTCCTTCTGCGTTACAGACCTCGCAGTGAGGAGGAACTCTTCGATATACTAAATTTACTGGATGGCTATCTCAAAAGCAGCAGCCCCAGCGTTGTGATGGCAGCCACCAAGCTTTTCCTAGTGCTGGCCAGGGAGTACCCACATGTGCAGGCAGATGTTTTGGTGAGAGTGAAGGGACCGCTGCTGTCTGCCTGCACTTCTGAGAGCAGGGAGCTCTGCTTCACTGCGCTGTGCCATGTGCGTCAGATCCTTGGTAGCCTTCCTGGCCATTTTAGCAGCCACTACAAAAAGTTCTTCTGTTCGTATTCAGAGCCCCACTACATCAAATGCCAGAAGATGGAGGTGTTGTGTGAGCTGGTGAATGATGAAAACGTACAGCAAGTGCTGGAGGAGCTGAAGGGCTATTGCACTGATGTATCAGTAGAGCTTGCCCAAGGGGCAATCTTTGCCATAGGTAAGAGCTGTGTCTTGCCTTGGGAGCAGCTGCAGCCCTAGATCGTTAAGGTGGGCCTTTCTCTGCTAAAGTACATCTGGGCAAATGCCAAATAACTGATCTGTGCTGAAGCAGTACAGCCCTCTATAGACCAGCTTCCCCAGGAGTGTTTTGTGTGAATGTATTTCTAAACCATGATTGTGCTGATTCTTTTAGAAATCCTGGCATTGAACTGTTTCAGGTTGCGCATAAAGTCCTTGAATCTCATTCAAATATCTGTGTTCTGATGGGATGCTCTAAAGAAATTGTGTCATTTCATCTTATTAATGAGCCTTATAGTGTTGAATGAAACTGTGTAGTGGGTGGAGGAGCTGCTCTAATGCCTGCTTGTTCTTTGAGTTGTGATGGGGGCAGAGTTAAGGTGATTTGGGGCACTTCAGGGGTTTTTTGTAAGCTTTAAAATAGGTGAGTTTCTATAGTATTCACAAGGAGAAAGCCAGGGGTGCTAAAATGCCTTTCATATATGGTATGTATAAGAAAAGTTCAGACTTCTGAGCACGGCTTCAGAAAGAGGAACATATCCCTCATGTGGAGCACAAGCTCATTTGACTACACTTTCAGAGATTGTAGTCAAAAAGGAAAAGAGAAAGACTGTTTCTTTAAAGTGAGTTTGTGATGAATCGTTGGGCACATGGTTCTTATTTCATTCTGATAAAAGATTGACTTCTATGTCCTTTGGTGTCTCTGCAGGCAATATTGCTAGGACATACACGGAACAGTGTGTGGAGATTCTGACACAGCTCCTGGGGCTTCAGCGGGAACATATCACTTCAGGTAATCGCCTCTAGGTTGTTTTCCTGGCTTATGCTTCAGGAAGTGGCCTTGCTGGGGCTTGTGATGCCAAACTCGAGGCTCTGAAAGGCACTTGGCTTTTAATTTAATTGGCGTCTGCAGGTGGAAATCTTCCTGGTGGAGCTGGGACATGTAGTGTGACCCGACATGGTATTTTTTCTGTCCTTAGGAGCCACTCTTTATAGTGAAGGGGGAGATGGTCATAGCTGCGTTCGTGGTCTGATGTGGAGGCTCCTTTCTGGCTGCCACCTGCTGACTTAGGGAGTGAGAGACTCAGCAGAGACATTTTAGTGACTCTTTATGAGGGCCAGGATGATTAATAGATCTAGGACTCTTAGTCTGTGTCTTTTAAATTTTTGTGATTTCTGTTCCTCATGTAATACTCTCATTCAGTTGTATCCAGGCTTCTCATTTTCTTCTGCTGCCCTCAGATCTAACTTCCTGTCATTACTGTTCCTGCCCTCTCTTTGCTGGTGTTTCTGTAAGTGGCCAGCAGAGCCTTTAAAATTTTGACCTAAAGTTCAGGAGACTCATTCTGAATTGGTGTTAGTTTTAATTTGTCATTCTAACCCTGTGTGTCTGAAGCACCATGAGTCAGTGTCTTTTTAAAGGCTGGGGAATGTCCAAAAGAGAGATTACTTTCCAGCAGCCAGAGGAACAACCTGAAGTTTCAGTGCTTTGGTTTAGACTTGGTACAACTTTGCTCTGACAAACATGGTGTCATGGGACTTTGAAGAAGCGTGTCTCAAGTAATAGTCACGAGCAAGGCGCTGACCTCCCTAGCTAAGATTTGTCAAGTCTTGAGTGGAGTTTTTTGGATTTTTTTTTTTTTTTTTTACCCCTAGTGTTTTTATAACTCTTGGGGAATGCTGAGCATTTTGTTTCTTTGCAGCGGTAGTACAGGCTTTTCGGGACCTGGTTTGGCTGTGTCCCCAGTGCACGGATGCAGTGTGTCGGGCATTGCCTAGCTGTGAGGACGCTATCCAGGACAGTGAGGTAAGGTGGCTTTGTGCCATGGGCTGGCAGCTGTTGAGGATGGGTGGACAATGACTGGCTTTCCTCTGGGTTGTGATTGGCAGGACAAACATCAGAAATCTTCTAAAGACTTGCTCTCTCCTATCTGCTTATTTCATGTTAGCACTGTCTTTCTGGTAAACAGCACCTATTTGCTGGGGTTTTTTTTTGGTTCCTTCAGGGCAAGCAAGCACTGATCTGGCTCCTGGGCACCCATGGTGAGAAAGTACTGAATGCCCCCTATGTTTTAGAGGACTTTGTGGAGAACGTGAAATCGGAGATGTTCCCAGCAGTGAAGATGGAGCTTCTGACAGCATTGGTGCGACTCTTCCTATCTCGTCCTGCTGAGTGTCAGGACATACTAGGGAGACTGCTCTATTACTGCATAGGTGGGTTCCCTTTATTCTGTTTCACTGAAGCTGTAGTACAGGCTTTTTGGGACCTGGTTTGACTGTGTTCCCAGTGCATGGATGCTGTGTGTCAGCATCCTAGCTGTGAGAGGACTGTCCAGGATGGCAAGGTAGGGTGGCTTTATGCCTTAGGCTGCTACTTGGCCCCTAGCTGTCTGGTTGGTGAGTGTAACAGCTTACACTGTATTCCTGAGAATCTGATTTTAGTAATTAAGGGTTAGTACTTTGTGGAAATCTGGATGATAGAATTCTCTATAAATTACATCTCTCTAATTCCCAGAGGAGGAGACAGATATGGCAGTACGAGATCGTGGATTGTTCTACTATCGCCTTTTGCAGTCCGGTGTGGAAGAAGTGAAACGGGTTCTGTGTAGCCCCAAGTCTGACCCTTCTCTGGGGCTCCTGGAAGACCATACTGAGCGACCTGTGAATACATGGGCTTCAGAGTTCAATACTCTTGCACCAGTTTATGGCAGAGAACGCTGGGCACTCGTCACTGCTCGCCAGCCAGCAGAACCCTCTTATGCTTGTTCTCCTTGTATTGACTCCAGGAACAGAGGCACAGGTAACACGCCTCACCTTCATCTGGGATCCGTTTTCCCCTTGTCAGTAGATGTTCTCATGTGGGTTTCTTTGGAAGATCACAGTGCTTTGAGAATACTGTATTAGTGTTCTGACTATCTTGTGCAATGCATGGCTGATCACCACCTCACTAGCCCAGGGGATGCTGCTGAAGGTGGTGTGATTCCGGCCTTCTTCATCTGATGGCTCCATAAGATGTTTTTTGTGAAATTGGGAGCTGCACTTCATATGCTGCATCTCATAGGTTTGTGGTTTCATTTCAGAGTCATTGATTTCTGAAGGGAATAAAGAAGTCCTCAAGGTTCGTCCTGATACAAGCACCCTGACCTTAATTCCTGATGTTCACCTGACTGCAGAACAGTTTGAGAAGACCTGGCTGAGCTTGGACATAAGCTGCCACCTCTCTCTGCCCTGGTGTGGGACCGTTCATCTGGATACCATACAGACGGCTCTTCACGTTGTCCACATCCAGACTATTGCTATGAGCAAAGCTGGCGTCCAGCCATGGAAAGCTTATCTCAGTGCTCAGGATGACGCAGGTTGCCTCTTCCTAACAGAGCTCTTGCTTGAGGCGGCAGATTCGGAGATGCAGGTTTCAGTGAAGCAGAGCGAGGCAAAGCCAGAGGCACTGCAAACCTTTATTTCAGTGTTAAGGACGGTCATGGGGGCAGCTGCTGGACTAGAGTGCTGATTGTTTCCTGCTCCCAGCAGCATGCTCTCTCAGGGCACAGGAAGAGTTTATTTCTCTGCTTCATTTGCCATACCTGGTGGTGGCTTTGTACTTTTAAACTGCAGGAGTGTTAGCAGCCCTTTCCTGGGCCCAGCAAGCGCATGTGGTGTGGGGGTAGTGCAGCTGGTGAACGGGGCAGGGTGAACAGTCTGCCCTCCCTCTGGGCTGGAGGAAGGACAAGGTAGTGCATTTGTGGGCCCGCTGCTTCTGGTGTGAGTCACAGAAGTGGTGGCATCTGTGGTGATTGTCACAAGACTAACGTGACTGATGGAACCAGGAATGAGCAAAATGCGGGGATGTGTTTTGGAGAGTTTTTTTGAATGAGAATTGTAAATAATTCAAAATCAGTTCAGAGACTGCAGGACTCTGCTGCTTATCTCACATGAACAGGAACAGTGCAGCAAAGAGAGAAGTTTTAGTTTAGTTCTTGGCTCCCTTTACATGTGATTTAGTTTTCTGTCTGATAGATTTCGATAGTAGCTTCACTTACAGGTGAACGGAGCTCTGCTGTGTCAGAGTTGGGTGGATAGGGTACATTGTGCTCACTAGAACCAGCACGTTTCTTTTCCAAGAGAAAGAAGTGTATTTCTAGCTGGAATGTGTTACTGTAATCATGAATCTCCCTCTCTGAAATTCCCCACTCACGGCTACTGTAAGAAAATGCAGTGTACAGGTTGTGTATGATGCTTTTGCATGAGTTAACATGGCATGAGTTTTGTAGCCTGTATTGCTTTGGCCATGTCAGTGAGCTGTCAGTCCTTGGTACTTGCACCAATAATTGAAGAATGGCTGTTTTAATATTCCATATAGGTTAATTTTTGCTGATACTGATTTTTACCATTTGTTACTTTGCAACTAGAATGGGTATTTAAAGGTTTGTTTTCTGTTAGTACTTATGTCTGTGCAGTACTGTCATCCTGTCCTCACAATACAGTACACGAAATGGTGCAGTATTATATGACTGAATTTTTGTACAGTTTTCAATGTTATACTCTGGCCAGCCTCGGGACTTCTTCTTTGAAGAGCAAGTTGACAGCATTCCATCTGCTCTATTGAAAGTTATGGAGAGTCGGACTTTGTACAGTGTCATGAAAAGAGTTTCCTTGCACAGCCATGTTTTACAGAGTGGCAAAACCCTCAAGAAGGCTCCTTGGCTAATGTTGAGGTACATAGGTGACTATAACAGGGCTTTATGGCACTGTATAAGGAGTGGCTTTGTTAACCCTATTCTGTAAGGTTTCTTGTCATTTTAAATTTCTTTTAATGACTGTATTGTACCTTTAAATTGCAATATGCCTTCCATGCACTTCACTGAAACACTGCTGTCACTGTTCAACAACAGGTTTTAGATTTTATTGCTGATTTTCCTAATAAAAATGTGAATCATTCTTGTCTGTTTTCTGGAGTACTTGGTCATTCAACTGTTGACTCTGAAGTCTGCAAGATGGAGTCACCTGGTCACTACCATGGATCCAGAGAGAACTGCAGTCCAGCTCCTGCCTTTGTATCAGATAGGGCTTTTCTCTCTCAACTTCCTTGAAGCAAAGGTTTAAGAAGCAATTGTGCAATGATTTCTTTCAGTCTCATATGCCGAATTGCTGTAACAGGAGAGCTACCTCGGGGTGAATTCAAAGGTAGATAAGAAGTCAGCTGTAGCAGGGCTCCTATTAACAGTTCCCAGTGTCTTTATGCATACATTGTATCCCTGTCCTTATGCAGAGCTGCATTGGAGCATTGGCGTTATGCAGTTTTCAGGAAAAAAATAGTTGATAGCTTGTTGGCAAGCTATCATTTACTCTGCTGTGGCTAGACTGAGTCTAGTCTGTCTGGGATGGGACTTGGAGCTTCTAGCCTTTTATCCAGACCTTGAGAATGATGAAGTCAGCAGTCTTCGATAATTTGTAAATATTTATTTATTTCGGTTGATCATAACAGAAATGGCTTATTTTGAAACTAAACCACACCCATAGCTTAAATGACAACAGTTAAGAGAGCAAATATTGGCATGTTGTGCTGCCCTGGAGAGGAGTCTGGGGTCATGCTCTCCCCAGAAGGAAGAACCTGTGCAGCTCTGGGAAAAGGAAGCCAAAATCCAGAGGCAAAGCTCATCTGCAGAGAAGAGCAGCTGTGGTGGCCTCCCTGCCCATCCCACAGCGGGGAGACATGCGGCCATGGCAGCCTTTGAGGAGCAGAGTGCGCTGTGGAAGCCTTGTTCTCTGACCTCCCAGGTGAAGATGAGAGCGACTGCCGGAGCCTGGAGACCGAACCGGGAGGTAAGGCCTGTTGTGGGAGGAAAAAATGGTTTGTTTGCTGCAGATGACAGAGGATGCTTTGACTAAACACTTAAAGGAAGGAGGCTGTACCTTGGGGTTGTTCGGTTTCCTAAAAAGCAGGCTTGTGATGTCTTCCAAGTTATCTGTTTTGGGGGAAAAGTTAGAGCAAGGTAAAGTTGTGCAAATGCTGGGCAGCCCATAGCTGCAGTCTGCCTTGGCAGGGCTGGGCAATGGGGGCTGTGAAGGATGGCTACCGCGCTTTCCGCTCCTTGGGGCTGTGGTGCAGGTGCCGGCAGCAGGCAGTGCTGGCAGGGAAGGTGCTGCCTGCTGCTGTGCCCCGCATGGGTCCGCAGGTCCTGAGTAATTTGCTCTGAACCGACGGGGTGAGAAAGTTTTAACGGCCACTATCAAAAAGAAAGCTCATATTGCTTATTGGATAAAACAATGGCTTTAACATGTAAGACAGAACGTGGTCTTTGCTTCACAAAGCTCCCAATATCATCTGGGCTACTTTGGTTTGCTGGGCAATGCTGCAAGAAACCCAGAATTTCGCCTGTATTCATATCACTTTCCCATTATTTTCTTGGCAACAAACCAGTTAAAACGTCCCAAGAGACACTGGGATCTTGTTGACACCAGATGGCAATCAAAGTTCATTTCTCAAAAGCTTCATCAAAGTTTGTTGTTTTGCCTAAAGAAAAAGTCTCCGTTAGTATATTGCTTGTTTCCCTCTCGGGGATCAGTTGCTTGTGCCTGTCATCTCCGCTGTCCTGAGCGCTGTGAAACTGCCCCAGAGCCCCTGGAGTTGCAGCCTTCTGCCCAGGGTGCAGGTGCCGAGCGCTGGAACCTGAACAAGAGGAGCTATGCTGGAATTAGCAGCTAGATGAGGGAGGGGGCTTGGTCAGGAAGCAATGCCTCCAGATAAAGTTGCCCACCGCTTTATGTTGAAAGATCCTGCTTTCAGTTCCTTACGACTTTGTCAAACGTGGAAATGATTTTACTGAAACTTGCAGTGTTGGGTGACTCCTTCTGACTGAACCTTGTTTTGGTAATATTCAGAAAAAATAAATAATAATACTCTGTTGTTGTTTTTTTTTCCCCTCAGGGTGCTTTAATGGAAAAATGCTTTAACTGAGGTGCTCCCACCCTACACCCTTTAAGTAGTTCAGCTGAGAAGTTCTAATGGTTTTATATACTTGAAATTTGTAAAGTATGCCTTTTGTTACTCTGTGAAGACCTTCCTAAATTTGGGTCACTATGAGACTTTGAAACATTGCAATTTGCAGTTGCTCAGAAGAGACCTTGAGTATAATACCTAAATTCTCCAAATACTGCATGCAATGATCTGCAGCCTTGAAATGCTGGGAGAATGCAGGCAGGACTTTGCCATCTAATTGATGCTGCTGTGTCACTGCGGTCAGAAGAGAGACATGAGACGTTTTCCAACTCCTCTGACCTTCCTTGCTTCCTCCCGGCAGCCTGTGAGGAAGGAGCTGCCAGATATGCCAAGGGGTAAAGGAAAGGCCTTAGGGATGCCCTTGGAGAAACAGGAGTGGGGATGAACTGAGACCTGAGCATGAAGCAGCCAAGGTGGGAGGAGAGAGACCTGAACAAACCCGTGGTACGGAGCCCCTTGGTCCCTGTAAATCAATGAATACTTGAATGGCTGTGTGATATTTCTTAGGGACTTTAGTTTTACATTTCCTAGCGTGTCTTGTCAGAGCTCTACCCTGCATTAACCTCCTGAGTGCTTGAGGCAGTAACCGCCGTAGTGCCCGCTGAAGGCACTGCTCTGGATGCAGCAGGCAGCTAAAGAGAATGGGCTGTCAGCGTGTGTTCTCCGCCTTTAATGCACGATGCTGAAACCCCTCAGCCTGCTCTCTCTGCTCCAGAGCCCGTGCAGTCTGCAGGAGAGCCTCCAATCAAGTTTGACCCGATTGTGGTCACCAGTCGCCTGCGGTGGATGGGGGACCAGTGCAACATGGATTTTGAAAGGGTTTCTTCCGAGGCTCTTGCCGCAGTGCTCAAGGGAAAGGTAAAGTCCGCCTTGTCCTGCCTGGCGTGGCCTGGTCCTTGTCTGTGGGCCAGCCTTGTGTTGCCCTGTGTTAGAGAATAGTGAAAGCCTGGGGAGCAGCGTGGCTTACGCTGCAGGAGCCAGGGGGGTCTGAAGGGAGGGGGCACGGTACCCCACAGCCTCCCTCCATTTCTGTGTCACGGGCAGCGTGCGAGCCACCAGGACAGAAGCTGGCTGGCAGTGCGGGAGCTGCCTTTTCTCCCTCGCTCTTCCAAAGCAGCTGCTTCTTATCACCTGAGAAGCCCTGGAGCTGCCTGGGCCAACCTGCCGTCGCAGATGCTCTGCGGTCAGGAGCCGTTGGGGCAGCCAGTGTGCCGAGGCAAAAGGAGGAAGACTGTGGTGAGAGGGACAGAGCAGGTGCTCCCGCCTGCCCTGCGGCTGGAAGTCTTGAGCCAGCGCGCTTCTGGTGCAAGCGCTGCAGGTAGTTCTAGCTTCAGGTTCATTGCAGCTCTGGTTAGACTATCGGCTGTCCTCCCCAGTCCTTCAACTACGCTGCAGTTTGTATAAGCCACAGTAAAGGAAAGCCCTGCCTTGAATGCCCTACGCTATATGGATACCACCAGGAAGCTGTGACGTCACCTGCTTTAGTCATGGGTAGAAGAAGCAAATGCAGGAATTTAACGGAATGTTGGATTTTGAGCTAAGATCTACTTATCACACCATCATTTAAAAAGAAGCTCAAACTGCCCTCTCAGTGCTTGCAGATGGAGAAGTTTGGGGCTGCCGTGGGCTCTCTCAGCAGGAGCTGGAGTGACCAGAACCCTGAGCTGGTCTATGAGAGAGCTTTTCTCTGTGTTTCTGTGAAATTGCTAATGCATGTCGCTAAGAAAGTCCCAGCTATGGTGCATCCCAACGAACTCATAGAAGTGATTAACGGAAATTCTCAAGTGAGAAACTACATTGAGGCCTGTGGCGGATAGGTAAGGATGTGAAGGTGGTGGTGATGTTTGCCTGGACATTTATGGCTCTCCCTTTGTGTCTCTTGCCTCACTCAGCTCGTCACTGATACCCAGCATGTCCCCCAGACGTGCACGAGCGAACTGCGTATAGCCGTGGGAGCACAGCTTTGCCAAACACCTTGGTGAAGTCCTGCTGGAGTCGGCATCAAACTTCCCATCTGCTTCTCTGCCTCAGGGTTTAATTCCGTATCTCATCTCAGTGTCTTGGGAGCTCAGCTTGCTCCCTTAAATGAGCATCAAAATAACGGAAGATGGGCCATACAAAAAGCGCCATCCTGGTCACACAGCGTTACAGACCCCGCTTGGTGTGTTTTACCGGGGGAAGGGATGAAATCGGTCCAGGAGAGGTCACAGCAGGAGGCGGGCTGCTCGTCCCTCCATCTCACATCCTCTTCCTGCCAGTTTCTTTAAACCTGCCTTGAACTGTTTCTCTAAAATACATACACATGGGGTTTTTTGTTTGTTTTCGGGAGAATTTGGGCAATTGAGAGAAAGGGCTATACTACTTTCCAGAAGGTGAAGCTGGGCTTTTCATTGATTTAACTGAGAGAAATGCTGTTGTATTTCTTCAGGGCAAGTAGAACCCTACATATAAGCAACGTGTAAAAGAGATTCTGTATCACTATAACAAAAAATTAATAAATGTTTGTTGTTGTTTTGTTTTTCTTCTCATGTTTCTCTTAAATTTAGCCATAAGAGTGGGCTTCACTCTTACTCAAGGTTTCTAGGTTAGTGCTTAGTGCCGCAGATTCCTCAGGTGAATATTCATCTTAAACACGTTTCCATTAGTTATTCTAAAGATCACTCTATTCCTGATTCAAAAGTTTATTTTTGCAAAATTAAAATTTTACTCTATTTTAAACTGAGTGATGGCTCGTTCAGAGTGATCAGCAGCCCTTTGCCTTTTAGCAGTTGGATACAGAAATCTTGTACCTATTCTCACCCGATCTGTGAGAAAACACAGAAGGGGAATATATTTAATGGCTCTAGTTACAATTGGAAAGAGAAACAGACTTGGTACAGCCAGTCTGAAGTCTTTGTGCAAAATGTGAGATATCGGAAAGATCAAGGTTGTGATTCCCCTACCTTTTTCAGAAGTGGTCGTGCAGTTCAGGGCAGTAACACGTGCAAGCCAGGTTCAGGTGCTCAGCATCTGCCTGAAGTATTCTTTCAAAACATTTTGCAGGTAATGTGGAAAACAGGCTAAGTTATAAGTGTGAAGGGGAACTGCGGATTTTGCATGCTGTTTTAGGGACTCTTCCAGTGACAGCACATTCCGAGCCGGAAGCCTTCCCTCGGCCGCCTGGCAGTGAAGCGCAGCCCCCAGGGGCGTGGGTGCTCACTGCTGGCCCCCGAGCTCGCCCCTCCGGGCCGTGGCCCAGCAGGGCCATGCTGCTGCTGGCGGCTGGACGTGGTGCCTAAAGAAGTCAGACGCTGGGGTGCCTGGCTCGGGTCCCCAAGGCCTGACCAACCTTGGTGGCACAGTGCACGGGGCAACGGCTGGGCACGCTGGCGGCACGCGGCACCCAAGGGAGCCAGGGCAGCTCTGCGCCTGCCCCACTGAGTGCTGCCCAGCCTTGCTGCGGGGCGCGCGCGAGGAGCGCGTGGCTTTTGAAAGGAGGCGCTAGGGCCCCAGGTTGCGTGTTTTGTTTTGTTATTTGGCCACGGTATCGGTTACGTACTAATTTCCTTTAAGACTTGTGATGAAGTCAGTAAACCACAGCCTGCTGCGAGCGTTCTCCGGGCTGCTGCTTTCCGCTGTGGCACACACTTGACATGTCCGTTCCCCGGGTCGGCAGGCCAGTCACGCTCGGTCTCCGGCAACATGAACCAAAGGGAGATTCTGCTGCAAAACCTGGAAAGGGCCCAAGGCAAGAAGCTCAACCGAGAAGAGTTTGTTGATGAGTTTTTGGTAAGTCCGCTTAGGGCACGGCTCTGTGTTTCAGTTGATTCTAAAGGGAACTACTCAGCCACTTCTCCTCAAGCGGGGATGTGATTTGCATGTGACAATAAGATTTTCTATGAATTTTACAGCAGAAATAGACACAGGAGTTAACTGGGGTAAAAGCAATGTAAAGACAGAAGAGTAACTTAGTAGTTTGCCTTCAAAGTAAAACTGCTTGCTTTTTAAATAATTACCCAAGTGCTTCCTGTTTTCTACTTTGCAAATGCACTTGTCAAGACACAGTTTCACTTTGCCTGATAATACAACTGGGGGTATAGGGAGGAATATGGAGCCACTACCCCGTCTCCCCATTGCAGTGTTATGTCTGTGATACACACGCTCCTGTCGGGGATCTCCGGTTGCTACCTGAGATAGCTCTTCCCTTTTTCATTTCAATAGAAACCCCCCACCCTGCCCCTGTACCACCTGCAGAGCAGGGAGCGGGTGTTCAGAGAAATGTGGACCCAAGACTGTTCAGCCTCTCATCGACACTGGAACCTTGGCCCAGGCATGAGGAGACAGCTATCTGAGCAGCCGGACGGGCTGTTTCTCCAGCTGCCAGCACTGCGCTGTGACCTGGGAGGGCTTGTGCACCGCTTTGCAATGAGTGCTTCTGCTCTACGTCCAGCAGTGCTTCTGGCCCCTCCTGGAAATTGATTTCTTGTTCCCTAAAGGCAAAACTGGCAAAAAATGCTAATGGCTCTCTCCTTCCCTGGCGTTCTGCAGTGTCTAGCTGGTTGAGATCTGTGCAGTGCCCTGATATGTGAGCTGACATCGTTTTATTTGTTTGGGTGGCAGGGGTGAGTCTTAGAAGGCAACCCACTGTCTCACAGTTAAAGCTAACGGGTGGCGATGGCCACTGATCTATCAACGGGAGGAAGGTTGCTCTGGCAGGCTGTCTGGGCAGCTCTGAGATGCAAAGGCATTGATCAGCTTTAGCAGACATAGGGAAGGGTAAAACTGGTACATCTGTAAGATCTGAGATGTCTCAAACACCAGAATCATCACTGGCCCCAAGCTACTCCCCCCCTGCCCCACCCCAGACAAGGGTTGCATCAGGCAGTGGTCTCTGGGGAAGGTGCAGGGGTTACTTAGGAGTCCCCATGAGATCCAGCCCTGCTTTGTCATGTCGGTGAAGACTGGCACTTCAAACACTTGGGAAAAGCTTAGTGCTTGGTTTCCAGGAGTCTGGGTTGGAGGGAAGTGATTAATCTGAGTCTGCAGTGACAGTCTGTTGTTCCATGGAACAAAGCGCTGTCACAGGCTGCTGAATTTCCCCCTCTTGCTGATGTGCTGGGGTTGTACTGCACCATGCGAGGCAGCAAGCTGCCAAGCCCTGTAGTTCTAGCAGCCAAATGTACAGTTAATTTTCTGACCAAAATGGTAGGTAGAAGTGGTCAAGGCTGTGTTTCCTTTTGTACTGGGAAAAGCTCTTCCCAGGGTGGCCTGAGTTGGTGGCCACTTTTGCAAGTGCAGCAGCCTTAACAAGCAGTTGTGATGGCTTGCATTTCCAAATTTGGTAGAAATGTTCAATGTTATTTCCCCATCTTAATGCCTCCCCTCTCTTTGTGTGAACAAGCATGTGCACATGCCAGTTGTGGTGGCGTTACTGCAAATGACAGGCTTTTTTTAAGTCCCCTTTTTCTGTTTGTGCAGTTTCACAGCCAGAGTTTGATCCTTATTGCTCTTGCTTGCTTTCTGATATGTAGGCATTTCCCAAGCAGTTTTATGTCAATTTATGCAGGGACAGAAAAGTAAAGTGACTCAGAGCCTCAGTTTACGAGAAGACTAAGTCAGCACTAAGTGATGGCCCTTCCATGAAAGCTTACCCTGGAAGTTGGGGTTGCATTGGAAGGAGGCGAGGGGGGATGCAATCAACACCAGAAGAGCTCGGGAGGTTACATGGATGTGTAGTCTACAAAAACATCCTGCTCCCACAACTTCTATCACGCTGTGCCTGCCCCCATATTCGTGATTAATGGCAACTGGACATGTGGACTGTCCTGGGCCTCCCATACCTTTTTCCTGACTCATTGCATCCAGGTCTGCAAGATGTGACTCCTGTGGTATTGTGGCTGGAGAACAGCAGAATTTAGGGTTTAAAAACTGCAGTTTAATGATAAAAAACAGCAACTCTGACTTGGATCTGAATTTGAGTATCTGTGCACAGAAATACTGTGGAGATGAGATATACGTTGCTGTATACACCACCTTTTATCTGTGGTGTTGCTTAAAGAGCTGTTTGGTTTGGTAAGTATGTATGAGCTACAAAGCCCTCCAGCTCCTGATGTGGCCTTTTGGCAAATATCATCATTCTGTAGCTTAATGCATGCAGGCCCGGACGGTGTCATGTCCTAGCGGGTGCTTGTCTAGAGCGGGCTGGAGTCAAGGGGAGTTTTGCAGCTCTCCCACAGCTGCTAATACGTCGGGTCTGCAGCAAGGGAGGCTGGGGGACAGGATTCTCAAAACTGGATGAGAACTTTTGGGAGAGCTGAAACGCAGATGCTTATGAGCTCCTGTGGGAAGGTCACTGGTGAGCTGACTCTCAAAGTGATTTATGGTGAACTCCCAAAAATCAGGGCCCTGAAACTGCCAGGACTCCTGCGATTCCTGCTCATGTGCTGTCATGCCAGAGCTGCAGCCTCTGAGCCCTCAAGCACACCAGGGAGGGCTTTGCTGGTACCCGCAGGAGGGTCTGCCGCGCCCCCAGCGCGAACCGCTTTGATTGCGGTGCTATTTTGGTTTGGTGACCCTGAGACCAGTGGCTGTTCTTCCCGCGCCATGAGCGGCTGAGTCACCCTTCCCACTTCCTGTTAGCAGCTCAGGTGGTCACCGTGAGGTGTGCACAGGCACGAGATCCCTCTCGTCTTGCAGCTCAGGTGTGCCTGTGGTCCCTTCCCTTTGCTCTTCACCCCCGTGCACTTTTCTTTCATAAGGCACTCGATCCTGAGGGTTCCGTGTCAGCCCAATTCTCCGGACCCCAGCAGTGACGTCCAGGAGAAGGGTTGTGAAGGTATGGCTCCAGGGCGGTGGACGAGGGAGACTTGCCCTTCGGAGTGTCAAACCCTAGAGACACCGACTAGGGAAATGGCCTTTTGTTTTAGATCAAAAGGACCCCTTGGTGGCAAGAAAAGTGGTTATGTAGACAAATATCTATGAAAGAAAAAATACAGCAGGA